GTACTCTCTGCAGGTTTTCAATGGTTCTCTAGCTGATATCAATCCGTGATCAACTCGTAAAACCAAAACTAACCCTTACAAACCAAACTGTATTATTATTTTTATTCAGTATAAAAATATGAAATGAACTAAACAAAAGAAGGTCTGTAGCGTTTGTAAGATTCCCCTTCATTTTCTGGTCCTATTTAAGACTTATTCAGCTGAATTTATCTGCATCCTCAATGCCTGATAGTGTTCGGCTGTGGTACTACTGGGCCATTAGAGCCACTTGTTGTGCACTCCTCTGGTGTTTGAAACCCTGGCTGCTAGGTTCAAGTATCATTTACTACAGATGTGGGTATATTCAGTCGATGACTACTAGAAATGGCACAAAGTTTGTATCATAGTCACCATCTATCCTGTAAACCATCAGGCATAGTCGAAGCATACACACTAGAAGCTGCCATGTCATAAAAAGACAGAGTATTTCGGTTCAATCAACAGGAAGTACAAAATTAACTTAATCTGTTAAAATTTATTGATTATTAATATTTTTAAAACAATTAGTACCCTTTATGAATTTTGTGTAATTTGTCTGAATCGTGCGATGTATTTGCGCAACACATTTTGAACAATCTGATCACACACAGACTTGTCATACAACATAAATATGAAATTAATAAAAACTTAGGAGGTTAGAAAACAGACTTAGGTCAAGTTAAAAGGACATTTTGAAGGTCAAAATAACAATGAAGTTCACTAAACCAAATAACACAGGTAATAGTACATCTTTTATAGTGTCAGAACAGAATTTACCAAGGAAGGTTTAATGTGATGACGAATTATTGCCTTGAACACATAAAGATGGTTTAAACTTCCTAATTGCCAGATAGGGCTTCCACAAACTTTAAGGTACGCCCCAAACACGTTCTATAGATACGTCTAAAAGATGTGTAAACGTCAGTTTAATGTCCTGTCTCTATAATATATTTCGCAATAGTGGAACTAGGTCTCCTGTTCTCACCATTAATGGGTTCTGGGGATTGTATTTGCTTCTAGAGTCATTTAGCAATATGCTCTGAAGACAACCCTTACTTGCAGATATCGATGAGTCCTCCCTATGTATATGTGGCCACACGTACATTCAAATTCGTAAATACAGTGGTATGTGACATCATTTTTCGCATGTTCAAAGGGCTTAGATGTATATATTGGCTTCACATTCTCAATTATTATGATATTAGCTGCATAAAAAGTCTTTTTAAGAGCAGCGTGCAATCTCTGTCTAGTTATCAAGCTGTTGTGATGCCCCATACAAGGTAGCTTGATGTACACGTCTTTCTTAGGGGCAAGTTGGAGAGTGGGTCTTGGTGTTCTGACTACTTTATATCTCCTGATGAACTTGTCTGGATAACTGTTATCAACCAGAGTTTGTGTCAACTTTCTTTCTTCCTCATCAAGTGTGTCTTCAGTGCATATTGGTTAGATTCTACTGAAGAGGCAGCTTACTAAGGCTCTTTAGTACCGAACAGGGTAGAAACTTTGGTGATTAAGATACTCTCATATCCAGGTAGGTTTTCTATAAAATAAGATCATTTAATTGATCCATCAAGCAGTCGATTAAGCAATATATCCAGGAAAGATAAACAGTTATTTTACTCTTCTACAGACGTCATTGATATACTATTCTGAACTTCATTCATTGGATTTAAAATTGAAGTGGCAGAGTATTAGTAAAATTGGTAAAACTGAATTGGATTTCATTTATTTTACTTTGATGCATAATCCAACATAATAAAAATAGAAGGCATTTTGTATATTGTATTTTTCCTCTCATAAATGCTATTTAACAAGGATAGTTTTATTATAAAACTTAGAAATGTAAACTTACTTCTGGGAAAATTTTCACTTATCATATTATTATTGTTATTATTATTATTGTTGGAAGGATCACGGGAATATTTACCTCCTTACTGAAATCCCAAAGGATATTTATACACCTATGGGATTCAGGTAGGCATTTCAATTGATTATTAAGAAATATGCATGATAACATAATGATAATAATGACAAATTGAGTGAAATCGGGAATTTATTAATCCCTCTCAAATACTTCGGCTTTATGTTTTTTGGGGGGTTTGGGAATGATATATTTCATTTCGCTTGAGTTAATAAGATTTGTTCAGTTTTGTCTAACTTATGGTATATTTACAGTTTACTTGGTCTGTTCACTGGTGGATGAAGAATATAAGCTATTTGAATTCAAAATTGCCGCGCTTCAGTTTCAGTGTACTTGTATAGGTAGAACGGAATCGGTCAATTGCGGTTTGAATTCCCTCGGGTTATTGATATTGTATTACGAGCCTATAGGATTGCTATAATCAAATCAGGTGTTATATTTGGCTATTTTACGCAGCTAGAAGGTCACTTGTAACGTTTTGGTATACTATAAAACGAAAACACCTCGCGATAGCTCTTATCCTCACTCTTCGGTAGTGACTAGCGGTTAATTAACCGTCGGTCATTTCGCTTTATATCGGACTGGTTAACTGAACACACCTGTATCTCAATAGAATAGTATTTCCATTTTAAGTTGGATCTAATATTCATTACTTCAAACCTTCCAATTTTCTTATAAGACTATTAAGTCAGGACAGTTTTATATTTTCACAAATCAAATCAAATCATCTGTACAAGGAATCAGTAGAAATTTGTCAGTTCAGTTAAATGAGTTGAAAATGGCAAACAATGGAATTCATTGACTTTACAGCTTAGTTTTAAGGTCCATGTTTGAGTACATGTGAAGAGAGAACTAGATAAATCTTTGTAAAATAAGTGAATGTTTTGTTGACGATTGAGGATTGTTTATTATTTACTGGAAGTTCTTCATCAACTGACTGAAATATCTGTTTCCACTGACAACAAACGAGTCGTTTATGGAATTCATTTCTGAAAAATGCTTAACGCTTAGCATCCTACTTCTTTAACTAAATCTATTGGATAGTGGAAATTTCGAATGAGGACTTACTTTTTAAAGTTTTACTTCATAATCCTTGTTTCTACAAGTAGTGAATACTGCAATCACTTAATTCCCTTCGGGAATTTTAAAGGCCAATCCGCAGCCGAAACACCTGTCAGCAGAGTTCGTGTACTTACAGTAAGCTAAGGTGCTGAAACATGCGAAGAAATAATTTCTATCAACCAAAGGCGTATAGCTAAAACGAATCAAATCAGATATTCTGTACTAAAACTTTTTCTGAATACTGCTGCTCTGAGCTTTTGGAATTTCAGTAGTGATGGTGTTGTTTTTGTTTAAAGTGGCGGAGTCGTTACTCTCACGCTCAACCTCTCCTTTTTATCGGGCTTACTACGGGCTAATAAACTAGGTGTGGTTTCGGAGTGCATTGGACGGGAATCGAATTCCAGACTATAGGCATGCTAGGCAATCACTGTTAAACCACCCACCCATGTTTTAAATCTAATCGTGACTGACTGAAAACCACTTAACTTTCTAGTTGATTAGTACTTCAACTACTGTGAAGATCATCTAAAACACTGAATCTAGTTGAGTAAACTCAACCAATTTGATTCTAGTGGTCCACAAATAATACTGATATTATTACTTCCTTAAGAAATTTCCCACTATCGTTTAACTAAGCTTGAAAGTATACTTGACAGTAGCAACAAAAGAAATTCGAAACATAATTCCTAAACTTTAAACCACTTTAATTCAGGTTGAGTTTAGTTTCTTACGGTCGTTATCGAGAAAGCATAACCACGATGTATGCTTTGTTCTGTATGTGATGGAGAAGATTAGTACCTCAGGTGGATGATTTTGATGTGGTTATGTTCTCTGAGCTGGACAGTTTATTTGCGAAGCTTTCATTTCAGTGCATACTTGATTTGAAGTGAGCTTTCAGATTTCTCCACGAGTTTATTAATCATATCTCCCGGTGACCCTGAAAGTGATTGGTTGCTTTTGTGTGTTTTCACACCTTCTAGGCTACTTGTATTGAAACTGATTGTTTCTTTGACTTGAACTTTGACCCTTTGTATGTGAGGTTTCTTTCTTATCGGTTGATAAATTTTGTCTATTTCGATGTGTCTACTGATTGATGATTCACTGGAATACCAAGCTTCTAAAAATTCTCTAGCATTCTTGATGTTTCCTCTGTCTAATATTTGAACATTGTCCCAATTGAATTGATGCCCGTGGTTGTCTGTATGCAGCAATACGAGGGAGAAGATATCGTGTCTTTTGACGGCTAGTTCATGCTCATGGATATGAAGACGAAGAGGACGTCCACTTTGGCCAATGTAGTGTTTTTCGCATTTGTTACAACTTAATTTTTAGATGATGTTGGTTTTATCTTCTTTTGTTGTTGAGTGTTTTGGCTGACATAGAATTGAGTGGAGTGATTTTGTTGGTTTGTGTGGGACATAAATTTCTAAAGGTCTAAAGAGTTTTGCAGTGATTTCTGAGATGTCTTTTATATATAGTAGGGCGATTTTCTTTGTGCTTTCTATGTGGGCCTTCTATTTGGTAGGTTGGCTTGGGAGTAGATGTCTTTTGATCAAGTTCCATGGGTATTCATTCATTTGGAAGGAAAGGTCACTTCAAATTGAAGCAGTGTGCTCTGAAGATGTTTGCTAGTAGGACAATGAAAGCTTTTTTCTATTTAAGACCAATCATGTGAATTCACGTCAATTCCAGTAGGTTATGACATTCTCAATATTCACTTGTATTCATAAATCATAATTTTAAACAATAACCCATTCTTTTTTCACTTTGAAAGAAATTCACTCCACAACGATAAAATTTTCATTATTAAACTAGTCATTCAATATAAAAATTATTCGTCATGAAAAGTTCTTCTATAACTGATGCTATCTCATGTTCTTATACAGGAATTTTGTGGAAAATGTATCCACTTTTATAACACTAACTGAAATGATTGTTTTTCTATCTTAAATTCTCCTTCAACTAACTCCATCTATTCTGTTTTATTTTTATATTTCAGTATTTCATTTGATTGATCTCAACTGCAGATAAATTTTCAAAATAAACGCAAAAATAAAACACCTCAGCCATGTTGACAACAGCGTTAAATTTTCTCTCAGACAAACGGAAACGCTTTCATCGTTCGGATACAATGCCAATATTTACCAATGATACCAGTTCATTTAAATTAAATTCAGATAATCAGCTGGTGGTTGACAATGATAAACTCTCAGTTAAAGATACTGACTGTAATGACGAAGAGCAACAAGAAGTGGGTATAGTTTCTGCCAGAGGTGGTTATAAGAAAAGTAACGCTCATCATCAAAATCAAGTTACACTAGGCAAAAGTGTTTGCTATCAAGGAGGATTATCACTGTCGACAAAAAGTTGTACACCAAGGCGACAGTCAAGAAACAATGACAATGATGATTGTGGTGACGATGAGGATGATGTTGATGATGGTAACTATGACAATGATGAGTATAATACTAATTCAGCAAAACTTCCAACATTTTCATCCAATGAGAAGTACAATATTGAACGAATAAGAATGTTGAGTAAGCAACATAATTCAGTGAATAATTTAGATAAATATAAATTCCTGGACCTTGAAACAAACTTACAGCGTCATCAAAAAAATCTGTCAAACAGTCCTCCCCATGAAAACATTCCATATGGTTGTCACTTATCTCATGGTTATAGCCTCAGTAATGTACAGGTAACTTTGGACCAAACTGGTTCAGAAACCAGTGTGTTTTCATCAGCTAATCTTTTGAAGAAAGGTTTTGGTGGTGAGCACTCCACCATGAAAGATGGTAAAATATGCCATCCAGTCACATGTAAGACACCACACAGTATCAGATTCATCCGTCCTCCAGCTGAATTAAATGAATCTGAACCGTTAATTTCAGGTGATCCCGATAATGAACAAATGTTTAATACCAGTTCAAAAACGAATTTATCAGGGAAGTCTAAGGTAGCGAAAATGCGAGCAAGAGCAGCTGCAAGAGCAGCAAAAGGCAAACTTAAACGCTCTAAGAGCAGTGCTTACATGTCAAGGCAATTTCGAAACCCAACTTCAGAGGATAGTAATGTAAGGGGACGCTCTTCTAGTACCCATCGTAAATCTAATAATAATAATCTTCAGGAAAATCAGTCACTACAAAATTCCACTGAAAACAAATCACGCTCTGGTTTAGTTAGAAGTTGGATTGATAAAAATGCTTCCACGAAATTGGATTCATCATCTCAAAGTAACATGCAAACTGGCAATTTAAGTGAGATAGTGGATATTAATGAAGGCTTTGACCAACTTATAAATAAGGCGAATACGTACAAATTTCAAATTATTGATGCACTGGAACATTCCAAATCACTTACAGAATCACAAGAGAGTAGCAATGAAATCTGTACTGATCAAAAAACATCTTCTTTAACAGATAATCAGTATACACCGAAAATCTTGTCAAACCGACATGTTATTGCCTCAACAAACAATACTGTTAAACCGAATCGATATTCTGTTGTCAAAAAACTAAGAAGAAACAATTCTAGCATAACTTGTTCCAGTGAACAAATATCAACCTTACATGAAGATCAATGTATCATTTCTACAAACTCTACAGCTGGTGATCTGTTATTACCCTCGAAAAATTATAATACAGATAAATTAACTTTTGAAGAAAAAGATGAAAGTGTAAAGAATTTAATTTTAAAATTGTTTACTATTATAAAATATGATGATTTTGACCAATTTATAAAACTGCTCGACCACTATCAACGGTTAAGTGAATCTAGTCTACGGCAAGTTCAAAAAGCTACAAATGAATTCGGATTAAGTGTATTGGACAGTGCTCATCTAACATCCTCCTTACCATTAATCTCATGTCTGTTAGTCTGTGGTTTCTTACCAGGTCCTGTACTCCAACCAATTTTAAATTCAACTTCAAAATCTTATTCACATAAAATAGACAGAATGGGTAGATATTTAGAAAATTTACTGGAAGAGAAAGAAATTCAACTGACTAAGTATAAGGCTGAGACAAAAAATGCAATTTTACGAGCAAATCACCTGTCCAAAATTGAAATGCATAAAGATTTTAGCAGTTCAATACAATTAAATCAACAATATGAACAATATAATATTAATAATAATAATAGTAATAACACAATAGCATTCGCTGAAGTTGCTATGCGAGAGAAAGAATTACAGGCCATGTTAGATGAATATGATTATCTATCTAAGCTTATTGATAATTACAATAAATATCCAAGATATACTAAACCTCCGAGCAAGGTGAATATCTTTCTTAATTCTTCAAATTCTATATTAATTCGAATAACTCCACCAAAAAATGACAGATTGACTGAAAGCAATCTTCAGAATTCAACTGGTAAAGCTACTAGTGATGATGATGATGATGACAATAATGATAATAATAACAATAATCATTTCGAAGATAACAGAAGTGAAAATGAGATCAACTTTGATCAGAGTTCATGTGATTCAACTGATTATAATAATGATAATGATGATGATCCTATTAATATTATTCAAGATTCAATAAATGAAGGCAGAAAAATTAATGATTTGAATAAAATTCATTCAAATAATTTTATTTTACGCTATTCCATTGAATGGTCTACATGTCCTAAATTTTCTAATTCTCAAGTGTACAGTTACTTAGTTCAACCGCCTATTCGTATTAATAGACCACAATCCCAAACAACAATAAAAGTTAATCAGTCCAGCTCTCTACGTGTCGGCTTTTATTGTCTGAATAATCTACCTGAGAATAAAATGATTTTTATTCGTGTATTTGCTTTTTCAATCCGTGGATGGTCTCAACCGTGTTATGCTTATCCTAAGGGATTAGTATTATCCTCATGGATAACTAATAAAGTTTGTGATTTATATCGAACTACAATACAACGTGAGAATTCTTTATCTTTATCCTATACAAAATATGTTGGATGCACATTGGATGAAGAAATTTATACAGTTAAAAATCATTTATGCCAACAACTTTCATCATGGGCACACAATAATTGTCCAGTTAATTCAAATGTCAACTGCAATACTGGAAATACAACAGCATCAGCAGCAGTATCACCAGCAACAACAACAGCAGCAGCAGCGACAGTACCATCATCATCGCCATTATCAACTACTACTACAACAACAACAGGTGTTCCAGTCAATATTTCTGATGAAACCACTACTAATAAACGGACGAAATCACCAATGTTACAAAGAAAGCGTTCATTTCGATTTCCATTCTCTAATAAAGGCTTAAAATTTATTCGACAAACTAAATCTGGTGTTTATCTAGCTGTATTATATCATACGCCGACAAATTCATCAAATATAACTGCATCAAATGAATCAGAGAAATTTAAATACAAGTCAAAAATTGTCCTAGCTGATGACTACATTCCAATGGTGAATATTTCACGAGACGATCAAACAAATGAGTCAATATTAAATTCTGATTTTAACTGGCTTTCACGAATTGTCTGTGATTCATTCCATGATATGGATATACAATGTTTATATGAAGATATACCTAATACTTCATTGCCGACAAATTTACAACTCCGCGTACGATTATTAGAAACATTGCAAAGACTGAAATTATTATTGGGTACATCAAATCTTGGCAGTATATATCCAGAGATTATACGTGTACAAACAATTGATACGTGTTTAACAAATTATTTAAAACAAACTAAACATGAAACATCAGATATTTATGAAAATTTTTTATCAACACCAAAAGCATCTACGGAAACAAATGATTCAACCGCTACTACTTCTACTACAAGTTATGAAAGTAGTATAAAACCGACTGCATCATTTTTATTTGTCCTAATCAAACAGATTAATAATCCAAATGATATTATGCTTACTGGTAATCTAAGATGGTGTTATTTAGACAAATTTTTACGACAGAATAAAATTAAACTCAATAAATTCTTTCAAACACATTCTAACATATTATTTTCAAATTATAGTATTAAAACAAATATGACTAAGAATATTCTACTGCCCACCTTGTATCCACATCTTTTAACAACTCGTAATAATCATGTATATATATCACCGGAATGTCAACTGGTTGCTAATTTAGATATCCTCTTAGGTTATTCAGAATTGCATAAGCATCTTTTAGAACCAGGCTTATATGTTGCTCATGTACAAATGAAAGCGCATTTAGATCAACAAGCCGCAATCCTAGTCTCAAATACACCGAATGTAATCCATATGCTACCAGCTGAAAAAATCCGCTCGAGATCACATGTAAGTTATAGTGAATGGTACAGTCTCTGCAGATTAGTCGAGAAAACAGATGAAAAAACTGAAGAGAATTTTTTCAACTTTAAAAATTCAGATAAACGATTTATTATTCAGTTGATTAAAGCAATATTTAAATTAGCAAATCGTCTGTGTTATGATATCAATGATCTGAAAATGTTTCGTATATTTTTACCAGAAATTATAAGAATATCCCCCGTACATGCATTTATTTTATTATTTCCATCAATTGATCAAGTTTGTTTACCGCCAACATTGAATTCCCCGCCACCGCCAACATGTTCATGGATTCCAATGACTTATTTCGAGAGAAATTTAGGCCTTAATTATGATCCATTATTTCATAATAAAATTCAACATTTAATATCACTTCTGGAATTAATAATTCCACTGTCACAATTTGCACAAAGACAATGTTTAACAGAATCGAATTTATCACAATTATCTGAAAGAACTCAATCACTACAATCGATACAAACAAATCTAGAGAATATGTTTCAAACAAGACGATGGTTAAGTGAAACAATATCAATTGGACGTGATCGTAAAAAGCTGTATCATTTTCATATAAATCTAGAGCAAATTTTAAATGAATATCATAGCATTTTAAAAACTACTTTGATTAAACTAAATCTAGACTCTTTAACGGATGAAGCAATTGAATTCACTAATAATAAATTTTCAAGAATTGCTGACCCCGGCACCACCTTGATGATTAGCGATAAAACCAAGCTAATCAGATCATCATCTGTACACAGTGATTTAGCAGATGCACTACCAACTTCTGAACGTGTAGATATAAACAATTTGCCGTCTTCACCAGCTGAACCAAAATATAAAGTAAGCAATTCAGTGATACAAGTCTATGCAGATTACCCGACAGGATTAACATCTGGTGTCTCTGTACGTCTGCTTATAAATATGCGTACTACAGTTAAAGAGGTGATAGAAATTGTTGTCAAACAATTGTTAGAAACTGCTGAAAGAAAATATAATAAAGCAAGTGACAGTTCAGAACTATCTTCAGGCTTATCTTCTTTTGAAATGCTACGAAATAATACAGAAAGTAATTTAGAGAATCATTTGTACTGTTTAACTGTATCTGTTGGTCAACTTGAACGTTGTCTACCGAATACAGTTCGTCTATTACTACTTAGAAGGCCATGGAGATTTGGTAAATTAACAATTCGTCTTGTTAACAACTTATCGGAAAGTATACCGCAGCAAAACTTACCGTCGCCAGGTCAGGAACACGTCAATCCACCTACTAAATTTACAAACTTCGCTTCAACTGACAAAAGTATATCTCCATTAGTCAGAGTTACCTATGTTCAGCCAAATCTTGAACAAGCTAGTATAACTTCACCTCCAGAGATTTTACATTGAAGATCTTCTGTGTCTTTTTGTTGCTCAATAAAATTTTTAAAATATATATAAATATATATACATATTTATAAAGAATAAATGCAAGATCTGTTTATATTTGAATACAATTATCTAATTATTTTAATTCGAAGTATTCAAACTGCGCTTGACAATTCAATGTTGTATATTTTTGGTGTATTCCTGCAACTATCGAAATCCTCCTTCTCCACAACAACAACAACAACGACAACAATCACATAAGCAATAGATAGAAAATTAGTAAAGGATAATTAATTTATTAATCTAAATGTGTTACACAATCCTTTAGTCTTTCGTAAATTGACTTTCTGTTCTACCTTATTGTTTGTTCGTTTGTTTGCTGTTTGTTTCTTTTCGTTGTCGTTTTTTCTTTTTCTTTTTCTAATTTCTTTTCCTTTGTATATTTTCAGAATATACTTACTACTTTATTATTACTGAAGCAAAAACAGGAAATACTCCCCCCTTTCTTTTGTGTGTTTTTCGTTCTCTTCCAGGAAGGCAGTTGATGATAGTTTTACATTTTACAGCTTGTAAAATTACATTGGCCTTTTTAACTGTGTAATAATCCTAAGGGATGATGATGATATGAAATTTTATAATAAAAAAAAACGTTTTTGAATAATGCAAGTTTGTTTTTTGTTTTTTTAAATAAAATTAATAATCCCCATTGAGATATAAAAAGAAGGAATTCAGTGAGTGTGTGTTAAAGTTTGACAGTGAGTGGAAATACTAAAGTGCTATAATAATATTGGTTGGAAGATTCCATCATGAGCTGACATCGGTTAGAGAACCATTGGAAAACCAACTGGGAGTTCTGGACAGCCAGCTATTTTTTCCTAGTCCAGGGCTCTTCACAGTGCGCACCCAACACAGGAGGTTCGAAACTACGACCTTATGGTTACAAGGCCAGCGAGCTCGTAGACCATTAAGCCACTCACTGAGACCCGATCCAATTCCAACTCCTGATAATTCACGACATAGCACGACATAGCCAATGTCTTCTGTGAGTATTTGTCCTCACACCCCACCTGCTTCACCTTACTAGTCACGACGTCCCACTAAAAACCAAGGTAACTATCTACCTGAATAGGGCCAGTCGCTAGTGAGCATCTCATTGATTTTCAAGTATTGGTTTGTAGGGATTTGGGTGATTGGTTTCAGGACGTCGTGGCCAGTAGGGTGTAGCAGGTAGGTTGTGAGAACAAATACTAGTAGAAGACATTGGCTAGCGGTCGCGCTATGTCGTGGATTAGCAGGAGTTGGAATTCATGGACTGGCCATTGGATAGGGTCTCCATGAGTGGCTTAGTGGTCTACGAGTTCGTTGGCCTTGTAACCATAAGGTCGTGGTTTTGAAACTCCCGTGGTGGGTGTGCACTGATGAAGAGTCCTGGATTAGGACAAAACAGCTGGCTGTCCAGTACTCCCAGTTGGTTTTCCAATGGTTCTCTAACCGTTGTCAGCTCATGATGAAGTCGTGTAACCAATCAATCAAATCCCTACAAGCCAATAGTTGAAAATATAATAATATTGGTGTATAGGATTATGAGTAACAATTGAATAGATATATAAATGAATAACTAAATAAACAGAGGTCAACCTAAAGTTCAATAAACATGCGTGAAAGTGATAATCGGAAAATAAAGCATATTCTTAAATGGATCCAGAAGCAAATACAATCCCCAGAACCCATTAACCGTGAGAACAGGAGACCTAGCTCCTCTATTGAGAAACATATTATAAAGACAAGACATATAATTGATGTTTACACGTCTTATAAACCTATCTATAAAAATGTTTGGGGGATGGCGTATCCTAAAGTTTGTGGAAGCCCTAGCTGCCAAATAGGAAGTTTAAACCATCTTTATGTGTTCAAAGCAACAATTCGTCATCACACTAAACCTACCTTCCTTCGTAAACTTTGTTTTGATGCCAACCAGCGTAGACGTACTATTACCTGTGTTATTTGGTTTAGTGATCTTCATTGTTATTTTGACCTTCAAAATGTCCTTTTAACTTGACCTAACTTGTCTATTTTCTCACCTCTTAACTCTTTATAAATTTCATATTTATTTCGCATGACAAGTCCATATGTGATGAGTTTGTTCGAAATGGGTGTTCCGCGAATACATTACACGATTCAAACAAATTACATCTTCTAATTGCTTTGTCTAAGTAAAGTAAATTCAGAAATGTGAATATCATATGATGGAAAGGTAGGATGAGTGAAATCCTGCAAAAGTAGTAAACATTTCATCACTGATGGGTTCAGAGGATTTGATTCGCTTCTGGAGCCATTTAGGAATATGCTTTATTTTCCGATCATCAGTTTTACGCACGTTTATTGGACATTATATTGACCCCTATTTATCTAGTTTTTCATTCATATATCTAATCAATTGTGACTCATTATCCTATACACCAATTTTATCGCAAGCTTTTTTTCCAGATGATTTTGCTAATAATCAATAATTGGTAGTGATCACCAGTCAGAGTGACGTCATATAAACCACTGTTTCTAGGTCACTTCATTAATGATATAAACATTCAACCGAAAGTATAGCCATCCTAATGACGGTGGTAAGTGGAAGAGAAACTGGGTTTTTCTCTCGGCAAAATGAGATATACAGTGATAGGAAAATACAAAAAAAAGAATAAATCATACACTGAAATCTCAGTTTGCAAAATGTATTCATATTCTGGTCTTATTTTCTTGCTTTCCATACTGTTTCGTAATGGATGCTTACTTCTCCTCTTCTCAACTGAATATGATGCTCTGCTATACAAGATTCTTGTAGAAGATATCAAACACAATTCAGTACGACTACTTATAAATTCTTGTCAGTAGTACACTCCACATGGGTTCAGTTTTGCTATTTCCTCAATTCGTTGTTTAGATTATACCAAGTTAATTTGAAGTATTGTCCAGGAAGACATGAAGTAATCAAATAACTAAACCACTGATAACTCGAAATTACAAATACTTCTCACACCTTTTTTATAACATTATTACTTTTAATTTCTCTTTAACTGATCTTACTGGATCAAAATGATTGATCTCAGTTAACATGTTGACTTCTAGTATGGACGTTTCGACGGGGAGTTCAAAACAGCTTTAAAAAAAAGTCACAAAAAGGTGGCTATCGTGGCTCATTAACCTAGTGGATAAGGCTTCAGCTTTTGAAACGATAAATGCTGGGTTTGAGTCTTTCGATATTAGTTTGTTTATTAGATATATCACACAGTGATGAAACAGTATTATTTACTGGATGACACAGTTTCGAACAAAATTTATTATTGTTCATAATCATATCAAATGTAATCACACGACTTTGAAACTTGAGTTTTGTAGTTTTCTTTATTCTTTCCTATTTGTCGTAGGGGTAGTATAACTTTCCAAATATCTGGGACACGTGTTGAATTGTTCCTACTACACGTGTTTGCAGTTGATTCGATAAACAAAGCTTCTGTTGTCAATCTCTCCCTCCATCCTGTGACATTAGATTTTAAAACTGTCATCTTATCCCTCCCATCCTGTTGTATGGTTGTGTGTAGTTGCATGTAGTGAATGCTATAGCTGAACTATTCTCTAGATTTCTTATCTTATTCTTGGCTAGTCTGACTGCCCCTATTCTACTAGTTTGACCTATGTATTTGACCTGACAATCACTGCAAGCAGGGTATTAGATAAACTAAATTGTTTTGTTTTAAAGACTCCACAGGATTGATCCTTTAACCGACAAAGATTGTTTCTAATTGAGTTTGTGGATTTGAATGCCAGCCACTCTTATTCCTGCTTTGTTAAGAATTCTGCGTAAGGTTTCCGAGGTTCCTTCCTTGTATGGAATTACTACTGATGATTTAGATTTCTTATTGTTGGTGTTGTCCTGCGCACATTTGACTTGCATTTCGTCATTAATATTATTATTATCACTATCACTACTACCATTATTTATTTTATTTTTACATTTCCCTACATATTTCCTGACTAATTTAAAAGGATAATTATTAAGTTTCAAGGCTTCTCTTATATGTATCACTTCCTGTCTTAGATTTTCCTTGGTACTGCTTAGTTTTTGTGCCCTGTTATTTAAACATTTCACCAATCCTATTTTTACTGACATCCTATATCGTGTGATTATAATTGATGATATGATTATGAGTAATAAATTTTGTTCGAAACTGTGTCATCCAGTAAATAATACTGTCTCCCTGACTGTGTGATACATCTAATAAACAAACTAATATGGAATTACTTACCACCACAATGCCCAAGTTTTACACATATATTAATATGGGTTTGAGTCGCTTTTGAAACATCAGCAGTCACTGAGGATGCAGGTACATCCCAAATCAGACGAAGAACGCGTCCTGGACTTTACTCTTAGCCATTATCAACCAAGTATCCCTTTAAAAATCTTCAATCAGACTAGAAATTATAAAACTTCCCATCAAGGAAAATTACACTCAAGTTTAGGAGACAATACAATTATCTCAATAATATATTTCCCCAGGAGATATCCATTCCTGCTGCCTGTCGCCATGTCGCCTTTGAATACGATGAAAGTAATGAAATAAACTATGTAGATGCCGATATTACTACGTAAATATCTACATGAAAGTCAACAATGATTAAAACAACGGAGCGAAAATCACCATGTTCACAATCCTAAAACATCTTAAGACAAAAATCAAAATTTGTAGGTATTGCAACCATCTTTTTTTTTAATTCTTGTAGCTATTAGTAATAACTGACAACACAGTATTTTTCAGTTTTTATGCTGAATGACATCAATGCCTTTTCCAGCATCCCATGAACGATAACATTAAATGTATAGTTAAGTGATTCGAGTGAATCCATGTTTATACTTAGGCAGAAGTCAGGTTGCTTTAGGCACAGCGGTTAGGAATCTCACCGACTATGCACATGGTCCAGAGTTCGATCTCCGGCTGACGCACACCTGATATCAATGGTCGGCCCATGAATTTGGGCTCCCGATATCACATGCTGAAAATTCCATAATTCTACCAAAAGTACTGGGTGGAATGAAGCTATAATCAAAATAAAGAATTAAAAAATAAAAAGAGCCTAGTTGTTAAACTTTTAATGCCTTCATGTACAACGCTTTCAGTCCTAACTTCAAGACGAAATTAGTTTATTCGCCATCTGTTTTGTCAGAATGCGAAAATAATATGTCAATATTATTCCCCTTAGGTTCCGAGTGGAACATATGAATTCAACAAAACATCTCCATTTTTTCCTATTCTTAGCAGTTCTCTTTAGATCGCTCCACGATTGCTAATAGGCTGTCATCTCGTCGATTTCCCTCCTTGGATGCCCAACTCGTTGTTTCCCATTTTGGGTTCCACTCGAGGGCTTGGTGTATAATCTCACACAATTGTCTCTTCTGTGTGTGTATGTATGTGTCTGACCCGTCTTCTTCGACATATTTTTAGGAGCGATTGATTCTTAATAATAATAATAATAATTTGCTTTATTCCAGAAACAGTACTAGTGGTACAGTGTAGAATTTTCAGCACATATCTACAATATTTGCATCTAATTTTATCAAACAT